GAAAATGGCTTTGAAAAAAGCAAACATTTTACAACATACTTAAAGCTTTTTCGTCTGACACTCCTCAGAGCATAAAACGTCAGAATAGGTTCCGAAAAAACACGTTTGAAAAATATATACCCAGTTGTGGATAGAAATAGGCCAATCAGAAAAACGCAAGCACAAGACCGGTATAGTTGACCAATCAGTGCCGCGAGCCTAAAGAAAAATTACCAATGGAGTCCAAGAGAGAAAACGAACTCCTTTTGTCTACACAATGGCGGCTTATTCGTTTTTATGTAGATTGACTCCAAAACTGCTAGATGGAAGGACGACCGGGCTCTGCCAATTATCCGAAACATGTCGTCATTATAGAGTTTTGCACAATCTGGGTTGTCTAAAAGATGTTGACCAATGGCAGAATCACTTGTTTTAACAGTGTTTCTAGACCTACAAGATCGAGGAGGCTGTTCTCTTTGAGGGGCAGTTTTGTTTCGTATGTTGGAAGGAACATGCTGTTTTATCCTATCCCCCAATCTTTGGGTTGTGCGCCCTACGTAGCCAGAATCACACTGGCACGTAAATTCATAAATGACGGAACTTTTTTGTTTGGTAGGGACGCAATCCTTTTGAATGGATGGAAGGGCTCTCCTAGTGCTGTAAACAATCCGAGGATTGACAGCAAAGAAACAATTGGTTATGGCTTGCCTAATTTGACTCTCGAATCGCAAGGAAGTGTTACCAATCCATGGTAGTTTCAAATAAACTGGGCACTTTTGCGGACCAAACTTTTGAACAGCCGAAAAACTTGCGATCTTCTCCTTAGTATAAGATATAATGACGTCTTCAGGATAGCCGTTGTCCAAGAAGACCGTTTTGAGTTTTTCCAGTTCAGCGTGCAGTTTAGATTTCGAGCAGATCATAAGTGCCCTATGTACTAATGTTTTGACAAGGTTAACTTTGCGTTGTTTTGGGCAAAATGAATTCCAGCGTATGTACTGACCGGTAAAAGTAGGCTTGCGATATACACTGGTAAGAAATCCAGTGTTAGACTTTTCGACCAAAACATCTAAAAATGGCAAGGAATCATTTTCTTCCTTTTCAAACGTAAACTGGAGGGCTGGGTGTAGGCTATTAAGGTGTTTTAGAAAAATATCACACTCAGCCTCTGTTTTGAAAATGGTATATGTGTCATCCACATACCGAAAATGGACACCTGGCTTTTGGTCGTAGTCGAACAAACGCTCTTCATGAAAGCCAACAAAGATATTGGCCAAGGCAGGTCCCAGAGGGCTACCCATAGCGACACCATCCTTTTGTTGGTACATTTCATTGTTAAAACTGAATTCAACTGAACGTGTTGCAGTTTCCATCAGTTCAATGAATACTTCCTCTGGGAATGGTGGGCTATTAAGCTCGCTCCGGTACAAAGCGTCGGCACATATTTTGATGGTCTCACTCAAAGGAACATTTGTGAAAAGACTACTAATGTCAAAAGAACACATGAAAGATGGTTCGTTTTCGATGTTCAAGTTTTGCATGAACTCAGCGAACGTAAAAGAATCCTTGATGCAATGTTTTGAATATTTTTGAAGAACAGGGTCCAAAACTTCAGAAAGCCACTTAGCCAGTTCGTGTTGTGCTGAGCCAATCATAGACAAGATAGGTCTAAGTGGGACGTTCGGCTTGTGTATTTTAGGGAGGCCATACATTTGTGGTCGTTGAGAGCCCGTGGGTCTTATCCTATCATAAATTTCTGTAGCCAACATTTTTGAGTTGACCAGTTCCAACAAACGTTTTTGGAGTTTCCGCTCTAGTTTGGCCGTTTTGTCATGTGTTTCGACATCACCCAATTTAGCAAATTTTTCTTTGTCGTGGAGAATTACCTCCATTTTATTGATGTAGTCCTTTTTGTTTAGAATTACCACTCCAGACCCTTTATCAGGTTTTGTAATAAAGATGTCATTGTTAGCCCGTAGAGATTTTAGTGCTTGGAAATGTTCTCTATGCAAAAGAAAATCTGAGTGGTCGATGGGAGAGCCGCTGTAAGCGTACGCCAAATCGCTTAGTCGTGCTCGTAATTTGTTAAACTCCAAAGGGTTAGAAATCTCGTGCTTGGCAAGTTGAGCGTGTAAAATTTCAAATTCAGCAAAGAGTTCCTCTCTGTTGATTGTTAGGGGTGGGATACAAAATTCAAGTCCATTACCTAAGACAAATGTTTCAGTATCAGAGAGAGAATAATCCGAGAAATTAAAAATATGTTTTTTGGTGTCGCTCAACATGCCACCGAAACGTTTCCTTACTAGCAAGCCAAAATTTTAGACAACCCAGATTGTGCAAAACTCTATAATGACGACATGTTTCGGATAATTGGCAGAGCCCGGTCGTCCTTCCATCTAGCAGTTTTGGAGTCCATCTACATAAAAACGAAAAAGCCGCCATTGTGTAGACAAAAGGAGTTCGTTTTCTCTCTTGGACTCCATTGGTAATTTTTCTTTAGGCTCGCGGCACTGATTGGTCAATTATACCGGTCTTGTGCTTGCGTTTTTCTGATTGGCCTATTTCGATCCACAACTGGGTATATATTTTTCCATCGTGTTTTTTCGGAACCTATTCTGACGTTTTATGCTCTGAGGAGTGTCAGACGAAAAAGCTTTAAGTATGTTGTAAAATGTTTGCTTTTTTCAAAGCCATTTTCAAATTCTGTACCGCAAAAAAATTGTTCACATTTATTGAAGAGAAGCAGTCCAAGAGTCGATTCTTAGTGACGCCCTCGCTCAGTTGGCCCCATGTACTAAAGAAAGCCATAAGATTGAACGTTTTGTCTTTGAGATAACTTTTTCAGCCTGAGAGAGTTTATACTGACACCATAGGGAAGTACGCAACTTTGCAACTAGCAGGCTTGTTGAAAGGCAGTATACGTTTTTGAAATTTATGGCATTCATTAGTAACTTGGGATTCTGCACCATCTATCTTAATCCTTGCTCTGCTCTTGATGGGTACCTGCGCTAAAAAACGATAGAGAAGAACAAAAATAAAAAGTGCGTATCTTACCATAGAATGCTTCCAAAACTTAAGAATATCAGTGATATTATGAGAATGTGGGTTTAGGAAATGGTAATCACGCCACTCCTTCCATTCAACCTGTAGAGAGCCATCCGTATCCATGCTAAAACGAGAACACATCAAGTCAACTTTATAACATAATAGTATGTGAACAATTTTTGGCGGTACAGAACTTGAAAATGGCTTTGAAAAAAGCAAACATTTTACAACATATTGGCTAAAAGCTTTTCGTCTGACACTCCTCAGATTGCCTCTTTCTGGACAATGGCTATCCAGAAGACATTCAATCCACAACTGGGAATATATTTTTCATCGTGTTCTTTCGAACCCTTACTCTGACGTTTTATGCTCTGAGGAGTGTCAGACGAAAAAGCTTTTATGTTGTAAAATGTTTGCTCTTTTCAAAGCCATAATAGTATGTTTCCTTAGTAAGCAACAAAAACTTGCCTTTGGTGACATTACTACACCCTAGTAATTTTTCACAAAAGATGATTGTCACACAACACACAAAAAGAATTATACCTGCAAAAACTTAAAAAGTTTTCTAATTACCTAAATTAAATCAGTAGAAAGCTTTGCATACATGATTATGAATAAAAACCTAATGAAAAATATTGTTATAAAATAACATACAACATACACACCTCATAAAATTGTGTATATCCTAGGGAAAAGTAATTTCTTTCATATTAAGAGCCTTATCTCCAACTACTGGGCTCCAGGCTTCCTAATTTATTTTTCACTGCCTTCGCAGATGCCATTTTTACAGTTCTTGAGCTTGGTTTTGTTCACATTGAAGGCACCTTCTTCCAGAAATTACAACATAATTTACTACCAGCTGACATCATTGAAGGAACATGGGTGAAAATACAGCAGATTGAAGGCTTGGTTACAAACAAAGGCTTTAGTAAAAATATAACTAAGGAAACTTCTTTTGAAATGTCTGTGCCAGAAAGTTCTGCTCGCTTAAAGTCGCATCAAGGGATGTCTCAGCAAATATGGGAAAAGATTAACTGCTTTCTTCAAAATATCAAAAGATAATTTCTTCTTGCAAAAATCAAAGGATCTGTATCACCAAAAGCAATTATGTTTACTTACTGTTTCATTAAAGAGGCAATTTCTTCATCTTCAACTTCAACTCCTAGTCTGTGAAATGCAGCTCTTAATTCATTATTAGTCACTGTCCCTGGAATAAGTTAATATAATAGTATGAAATAAAGGGATTTCATTAATACACAAGACTTGATTCAAAGTTCTCTTATATTGGTAAGTAGATAGGCCCTTAAGAGCTGAGAGAGATCTTGGTTTTAATTGATCCAATGACAATAATAGTGAACACAAAATATTGTATACCTAACCCGGCATATATGGACAAATGTTCAGAAAAAGAAGAAACAAAAAGACTATCAAGTGCATATATCTTTTTAAATAAAAGTGCATGTAAGGAGATAACTTGTGAACAGCTCCTGATCCAGCATCAACAAAGACAAAAAAATGACAGATAATCATTTGCAATATTCATTAAATAAAAAATATTAGAATCCACCTGCAGCAACAAAGTATTTATTTCCTTTTTTCTACATTCAAAGAATGACAATAGATTGATGTTACCATTTTAAAGAAGCAGGTACTTTGTTATGAATATTTTATATGGAAATTGAATTCAAAGGATTTTCAGATCGAATATGGACTGTATGGATTTTCAGATCCAAAAGGCAACACCCAAACTGCTACTAGGCAAAAAGTGTCACTCAAAAGTATCTTAATTGCATGATAATCAGGCCTTTCCCAGAGACGCAAGCTTTTTCAAACCAGCATTCTCATTTAATCCATGCAGTTTAGCTTCCCATGTTTGAACTACTTATCGCTAAATATCAGGATGGTAGTTAATGAAGAGAAAGAGGTCTTACACATCTATGTGCTTATCACATGTTAACAAACTATATTAACTGCTAAAACTTGCAATGGAATAGCAGTCTTTGTAATATGAAAATAGGCCGCGTGCGGCATTTCGCACGCCTTGGTTACTTTGCGCGTGCGATGGCGTGCGATGCGAACCGCTTTTTATCGGTTGTTTCTCATCTCTGTTGTCAAGAACTGGGTGCTGCTTTAAGGAGACCTTTTATGTTATAAACTGAACGGAAACCAAGGTAATTGACGGAGAAACTGTTCTTGTTCTTTTTTAAAGATGTTAAATTTAATTAGTCACTTAAAGAAATCTGGATTGAAAAAAAATTATATTACCCGTAGACCCTACTCTATTACCTAAATTCTATTACCCGTGAATATCTTAGCGGATATTCATAAAAAATATCTTACCGTTAGATCGGTATTTCTTTGGAATTGAGCTAACAATCAAATGAGAAGGATTGGGTAGAGAAATGACACAAACATCGAAATGAACACACTTTCTTTGGGCACAAAAACAAGTTTAAAATAATTTAAAAATAAGTACAGTCACCGTCACTTTCTTCTTCATCAGAGCTTTCTTCAGCTTCCTCCTCCTTATCTAGCTTCGGTTTCTTCGATAAACTGTTGCAATTATCCAGCTTTCGCTTTCTGCTTTTCGAAAGATAGATCTCCGTTGCCCTTTTCAAAATATTCTCCCTTTCATCGTCAGTCCATATAATGTCATTGACTGCGATGCGAAGTCTCATCTCCATAACCCTGTATGACATTATCTGACAATAATATGCTGAGAATACTGAATGCTCTCTCTACCGATGAATTGGAGCCAGATATTGCAACCATTATCTTTGCCAGAATGCACAGGTTGGGGTACTCGTCTGCCCTGTAAGAAAGCGTATTTTTCCACAGCTTTCTTGCTTCAATCCTACAAGCATTATATTGTACGTATTTTTTGAATGACTTCCATTCCTTGAGAGCTTTCGAAACGTCAAACTTCGTCTCGCTGAGGGGGGGTTTTGAAAATAGCTGCAAAGCAGTGATCTCTGGGAACCCGTAATCCTTGTTGTCGTTCCATTACTTTTGATCAAACCACTTCATCGTACTAAATACTCCATCAGCATCATCGAAGTAGCATCATCCTTTTCCGACTTGAAACCGATAATTTCATTCTTTCCCCAACCAATGAATGTTGCCAGCTCCACTTTGTTTCTTTTCGCCATGATTACCGAAGAACAGAGTAATCAATCGAACAGTGAAAACATCTCTTGGATCGAAAATTTAAATTGCCGGGTTTTCACAGTAAGCACCA